GCACTGGTTGTTGCTCAAATCAATCATGTCGTGTAACCGCTGATCAAGAATTCGCTCGGTGATCTTCATGGTGTGCGAAAGTAAGCGAATGGGACGATAATTGGAACATTCGGCCGAGTCTCCTTTGTTTTTGAAAATGGACAGTAATGCTTGTAGCCTATTTCTAGGTGCACAACCTGAATCAACGGCTGCATTAAGAAATTGCGTGAGCCACGGGATATCTTCCTGTCGTAGCTCCTTTTTTTCCAGACCTCTGCCGGTATGTTCTGGTCCGCTTTTTGGTTCGTCATGCTGTCGATCGCCTTGGTCCTCTTCAAAGGTGATAGGCTGTACGTGGAAGGTGTGCAAACTCCACGTTGGAAATTTCGTTAAAATGTTGCCACCAGCGAGGCAGTATCTTTCGCCTACTGTGCAGCCGCTCCCATTCAAGTCTTTCATGCACATATAGTGCTCAACGTCCTCCGCTGCTTGGACCTTTCCTTTCGCCAATCTGTAGATGTTTTTCTCAACTTCCTCGGTGCCTAGCTGCTCGTATAGGCTCCGGGAATCTCTGCTTTTACTTTTGCCACGGATCTCTTCCCTCTCATCTAGTGATAGTATACTTCCTCCGGTTCTCGGCAGTACTATGCGTGAGCCAGGTTTTGTAAGCAGTCTTGTTTTCCATTACTTTCCATTTCACTTCGGCCGTCTACAACCCGTTTGTTTGTCAATACGTCGACCAGGTTTCGTAATTCTTAGAGCCACTTCAGCAGCAACTGTAACGGATCCGCTGAAAGTTGCCCACAAATCGTTGACAGGCCTGCCATCAACTGGAGGTAAGCTGCATGCACGGACAATTGCTGCCTCCTTGCCCTGCAGTTTACACCACTTGGTTCGCTCTGGCCCCATAGACCGACCGGTGCCGCTTCTACGCTCGGTAATCTTCGTATCCACAACGAGCATCTTGCGCTGTGGTGCCAGGCAGTCCGACGGGATTACCTTCGCATCTTTGATGGCAGGAAGCCTGCGTACCAACACGAAGTCTATTTGACTTTTCTGCCCACTGCTTGCGTATGTAACAAGGTGGCTTTCTCTCTTTTTGAAGAATGTCTTACAGATAGCAAGATCATTAGCCTCAGCAAATTCTAAGATACGTCATCGTCTTTATTGCTTGTCTCGTATCCTTTGTTGCCATGACAGCTATAACCACTCCGAGCGTTACCAACATGGCCATTTAGGTCGCCACAAAGCAGGATTACTTCGCTCGCGGGGACTGCTGCAATATGATTCTTAGTTCAGCCCAAAATCACTACTTTTCCACGTCGTCACACCCGCTTTTGGGGTGTAGGCTGAAAACACACAAAGACGGCGGGTTGCTACATCGATCACAGCAGATATGAGTCTATCTGAATGACGTCTTATTTCGGCGACATGACTTCGCAGCTCGGTACTAACGATAATGGCCATGCCTTTGCTGTTGGTCTCGCCATAGTAGCTCAGCTTGCAACCTTCGCCAATGTCGCGGGACTTGTGTCCCTTCCACCGCGTCTCCTGGATGCAAGCTATGTCCACTCTGCGCCGTTTCAACATTTCGCCAGTTCGCTGCTGCGTCCTGTAAGTGTGCCAATGTTCAACGTGGCAATGCGCAGCGGTCTCACATAGGCTATCTTCTTTAGCCAGTTCCACCCCTTGGTAGCCCTCGTCCATTTTTCACGGTGGTCGGGCGAACCCATCGCGCGTTGCCTCAGCGGGGCGCCCTAGCATTGTCCATTGAAGTAGTGCTTCGATCCATAGTTGCGACTCAATGTTACCAGCCGACCTGTCGCGAGGGTCTGACGCTGGTTTTCCGCGTTCAGTTCAGCACCATCCTAGAAGATGGGCAGTCTTCAGCGGCCTTTCGAGAGGGAACGAGCTCACCTCAGCGAGAGTGCGTTCTCGGAATAATTTTGGACAATAGAATCTCTTCATTCTGGCGGAATTCGTGAATACTGCTGCACGAGAGGAAGTCAGCAGATGTTCGCCCTATCCTAATTCGAATATATAGAAACAGGAAATATTGAATCCTTAAATAGGTGCGGGAAAACAAGAATTAGGATCGAAACAAAAAGAAAGAGAGGAAATTTGATGTCCAACCGGGAAAGGGGACCGTTGGGTACCTGTACTGTAACCAAATTCTCAGACTCCAGCACCTACGCTGCATCAAGCACCTATGAGAGCCATGAGAGTAAGAAAAATCCATGCGGATCACATAAAACATGGGGTGATCCTGTTGTTGGAGTTGGTAGACGGAGATGGGAGAGCTTGGGAAAAATCAAATCACAGGAAAACCAATTATAGAAGGATGTTTATGGAGAAGGTGAAAACAACAAGGACAATTATCACAGCGAAGCCTATAAAAAAGGGCCGGTATGGTCTGAAGAAGACAAGCTCCGTTAGTGACCGTCCAGCGGATCTTCCTGCAACAGGCCCTTCCGGCCAGACCTCTGGTCGGGGAGCGTTGAGCGGGATGAGTCCCGGTAGTAGCTTCAATGTCGAGTACTGCTAATTATTTACCAGTGCGAATCCTTCCATCACAAGAATTGCTGATTCTTCATGGGCAATCATCCTAGAATTAGGAATCTTGAAAGATCCCTGGATTACTTCATCTAAAGCAACCAAACTAATATAAGTAGAAAAGAGCGTGTTTAAGAGCAGGGAGAGGAACTTTGCTCTCAGTCACACAAAAAGGATGTTTTACAATCAGAAAATGGCAGGAGTGCCTTCCGAGTGCAGTGTATTACATTATAAAGGGAATTTGGCCATACACCAGGAAGTTATAGAGCTCATTATACTAACGAATCTGAACCTGTCAATACCCAAACGTCGGTAGATGAGACCGCCATCAGACAAGTACGCGCGACATCGCGATCGCCGCGCAAGCATGAGTTGGGAAGTTGCAAGCTGGAGTCAGTTGTTACTTCCAGGAAAGCTGATATGGAAAAGACATTTCTGGAGGATATGATCATAAAAAGAAACAGTAAAGGGTAGTGATCAAGCAAATGATGAGGGATTTGATGACATATAATTTATAACATATCAAATAGAGGGGACGGCGAGTGTGGCGCGGCATGAGCCCGCGTTCGATGCATTGCTCTACCAATGCTGATCGTGTAGTGACCGATTTAGGAACAAAGCAGCCATTGGTGGAAATGTTACAGGCGTCTGGTTGCGAACGGACTGATTGCAGGTATATGAAAAGTAAGTTTAGAGCAAACAGCTAGAAGCGAATTCTCTACTTCACTACAAGAAGTAGAAGTTCTTCTTAGAAGTAACGGAAGTAACTTGGAAAGAAGGCTTGAAAGAAGTTGAATTAAGAAACTGCGGCTGAACCCGGTTCAGAGTTCTGGAATATTTCTTTTTCGCGAGTGTTCTTGCAGAAAGCTTCGCAAAGCATAAAAGTAACCTAATCGCACCTCCCAGTTTCACTAAACTTTTTTCTTCTTTACTTCCGCCTTGCCAGCACGTGTATCTGTGTTAAAGGCAAGTGACTGGACAAGTCTCCAGGAGATGTAGAATAGACACGCCTAGTGGGACAGAATTCGGAGCCCCTGAGCGGGCGTTGTGTGGCGCCTTTCCTAGTGGAGCTAGCCTCGTAGCGCCCTGTCAAGCTACAATATACCATATTATTGTTGCTTGTTCGACACTTCTGTTATGCGGCCCCTTATCAGTTTTCGATGACCCAACCATTTTTTTTATGGCCACACTTTTTAAAGGTTCCCGTCCCAAAGAGATTCCTCTGAAAATGGTAAGTGACTCTAACTTAGAGATCACGCTCAGAGTTCGTGCGTCCGCCGATCGCGATGTCGCGCGAACTCATCTAACAGCGAACTTATGTAACGGAATTTAGGGCATCATGGCGTGTCTCTTGGTTTTACGGAAACTGTAAAATTTAGCTTATCCACCATTCAAAGTCGTGGATGCGCTGCTCCAGTCTTTCTAGGTTTTTCTTTTCATTTCAGGTGCATCAACACGCAACCAACACGGCGCAACGGATCGAAATGGTAATCGTTTCTGGAAAGATATCCAAGATCAGAGGAAAAGTCTACCAGGAAACAAATATTGATCAATCATGCTGCCCAATTCCGTTCAATGTGGTAGAGTAATCATAAGGCTTGAGGAGGGAATGTGGAGGGAGTACTCATGCATACCCCTGTCAACGGGAGTGAACATGGTTACAAACGGTATAACCTTGGTGCTGACGCAGTGCCTGAATAATGCGTTCGCATTTAGCTCCTACTATGTATCTTAAGTGCCAGTTGGGGCTGCTAGCGGGTTTTTAAGTTACAAAGCGACTCTGTCACGGAACTAGATACATTGTAAGCGACAAGCCTATTTGATGCAGTGCGTCTTCTGGTCCAATAACTGCGATACTGCCTGCATTGCTCTGGATAGGCACTATTCGGACCCTACCTCCTTGGTGAGTCCCATGGTGAACGAAAGCAAGGATTCGTTTGGGGTTAGCTACGAAACGAAGCATATGTGTTCTGTAGTAGTTATCCAGACGCCAACTTTCTTTTCCCGTTGTCTTTTACTGTCCCAACTTTCGGAGTTCGAGACAAAACTTCGATTCATCTTGAAAATTCCAGCAAATCATGGTTCCGAGTTACTGCTCAGGAGTACTCCATTGAGGCGCCCGCACCAAAATAGGCCATAAACAGATTTGCTGGAAAATTGTCTAGAGGGGTAGTTTGACTTGTTGAACGCAAACATTACACTCCCAGTGGGTGCCAAGCGAGTCAACGATGAGAAAAAGGGGTACATTTGACAGCACGGGGTGATTCTGCTTGTTCGCATAATTCCTCTGATATGATTCCCACCTCTCCTAAGGCTCTCCCTTAGCAAAAAGAATGCTCTTCATCACAGACAAACGTAAAGGGTGATGTTAGCATTTTCCTTCAGTTTGTTGTGTGGAAAGTTCTTCATTCAGGAAGGTGACAAAAGAAGAGTGGGCTGACGAAAGGTTTCCGAATTACTGTTCAGGAATGGCTTATTTTGCACCGCTTCCACTTATTGGACGAATGCTGAGAGCCGCTCACACGCAACGCTTCTTTTGGGTAATTTATTTACCAGTTTTTCGATTAGCAGCATAGTGAGATGGTGTCACTGCTCTGAATACTGTTGTATCAGAAAAAAACCATGAAAAGCAGTCAACCTGAAAAAAACAACTGTAGATTGATGACGCTTGGATTCATGTTGGTTTTGCTTTCAGGTCGACGACGTTTTCATTACTGGAGTGCTGACAAGAGCAGCTAATGTGACTCTTGTGAATTTAAAGCAAAATGTAATACATATTCTCAATCGAAAACCGGAGCAGTTCGCTATCAAGGAGAACTTCTTTTTGACACGAAAACAATATAGGAGCTATTGGTTCTATGTGATCAATTACAAACTGCTAGAGTAAACGCTGTTGCCCTGAGCTCCATATATGGTTAAGGGAAAGTTTGAACTCCTTTGACTTAGAATCCTGAAAATTGATATTATTTCACTGAAATTCTTGTCCTTGGTCTGAAATGTGGTGGTCAACATTGTGAACAATACCATACAAAGAAAAATTTCTTCTATTACAGCCACTCGTATGTATTCTACTTCGCTTTTTTGTAGTATGGACAGCAATTCGCTTCCAGACCATCTGCACTCGAATTTTTTTTCCTTATTTTTCTGATTTGAACGTCAAAGCTGTTAAGGCCAAGAATAAATGAGTTACATGAAACCATGCCCCATCTACAGGACAGTCTTTCACGACACCATCGTGTCCGAAATAGGGTCTCGAAGACAATCACAGAACTCATTCTAGCAGATATGCTGACCCGATATGATAGTTCACCTAATAGAGTGAAAAGGGTGTGGACAGAAATAGGTAACCTCAAGCCCATTTCCACTACTCATTTCCGTGACCACAATCTATTGAGTGGCGGCAGGACCCTAATGTTCTTGGAGGGTACACATCATCTGTTCATGCTGCGTAGTTGCGAGAATCATTACTTATAACCGTCTTCGTATGAAGAGCAGAATTGAAAACCATCCTCAGGAGCCTGGATACGATCACGGCCGACAAAGCACCACATCGTCGAACGGGCTGATCTCGTGATCTAAAAGGTACGGTATTTGGTTTTTCCCTATTAATTATGTGATGGTCTAGTGGGTCTTGAAGGTCTCGTAGGGTGGTATGACATTTGGGTCGTATAAATCATAAATTGGTTTCCACTTCCAGGCTCCGAAGAAGGCAATCGTGCCGAAACGTTAGCCTACTACTGTGTCTAACAACCTCGTGTGAAGTTCGAAGACAAATAAATATAGAATTGAAAACGTTTTGAACAGAACGGAAGTTGGTCTCAACTAACAGAAGTCGGTTTACTGAGTCGTGTGTTTTGGAAGGTTATTTTGAATTTTTTCTGCAAGGAGCAGTGTCGATAATGGGAAAATTCGGTATGAGCTCTTTTTGAAACTCCCAGTAAACTCTCAGTTCTAAGGATATTCGCAGAGCTTATTATTAGAAATGCACAAGACCACAAAACTGCGATGCACCGCATGAATATGCCCATGGATCCGATCCGCTTCCAAAAAATATGTGCAATCGAAAATTTAATTAGTGGAATGAGATAAAAAAAGAGAATCGATAACCAAATTCAAAAAAGTTCGATCGACAGCATTCGAGCGCTCTGTGGCATCAGGTAGGATGGTATTTGCAAGAGTGCACGCTTTCCATTCTACGTACTGTTTATAAGGTAACCAAACCTTCTGGAATTACATCCCAATAACAAAAGCAAGTGTTTTGAGATAAGTGGGACGCCTCCGAGTAAAACAGCTGAAAGGCTACCGAAAACGCCTGCAATAGAACGCCTCCCACTCCCGAAATTGATACGAGTTTCCTGAACTATCAAGATGCCAGGCAATGTGGTGGCAATTATGCCATGGCAACAAGCTGCTTATGTATGAAAAAAATTCTGAAATTGTAATTGATTTTAATGCTATTAATTCATTATAACAGCTTATACTGGATGCGATGGCTAGGAAGGCACTTCATTTACCATGGAACCGTATGCTGACAGAGCCCTCAGTGCTGGTCGCAAAAACATAAACAAAAATTGCTATTAGGTCGTTGCAAAAGAAATGCAGGATTTCGTTTTTTTGTATTTAATACTTGTTTTATTCCAATAACATGTGATTGTTATATATCATTCGAAAGCTTATCTAATGCTCTTTCTAAATGATACTGTAATTCTTTTTAGAGGCCACAAAATCGTTGAAAGCGTTTTTGACATCGTCTTGGTTTTTGAAGCCTTTCTCTCTAAGATAGTCGTCCAGATGCTTGAAAAAGTGGTGATGGGTGGGCGACAGGTCTGATGAGTATGGTGGATGAGGCAGAATTTCATAGCCCAATCCGTTTATTTTCTGGAGCGGTAAATTGTGCAAATGGTGGTCGGGCATTGTCGTGCGAGAAGAGTGGAGTCCCTTCATATTGACCAACCTTGGCACATGCGTTAAGGCTTCTGATGCATTTCGTCGATTTGTTGACAGTACTTCTCTGCTGTAATTGTTTCACAGGATTTAGGAAGCTGTGATGGATGAGACCGGCGGCAGACCACAAAACATGAAGTTCATCTTCCAAGGCTGGTGTTGCCACAGCGAAACTTCTGGAACCAACGTTGGACCGTAGATTTGATACTTTCTTGACCCCAAACTTCGTTGATGTTCCGAGCTGTATCGGCAGCGTTTTCGTCCTAGCTTGAACTCACAGAAGAAAATAGTGCGAAATTCACGTTTCGACATCTGCCAATAAAATGTCAATAAAAATTATAATAAAATGAATTACAACCAATCTTGGAGTATAATTTAGAAAGAGCATGAGATCAGCTTCCGAATAGTATATAACACTTTGTATTAAAGTAACATATTATTGGAATAAAATAGGATTGAAATACAAGCAAGTAAAATCCTGCATTTCTTCTGCAACAACCTAATACCTGAACTTCGCAAACAAATTACGAGTGTGGGAAGTTCGCCTGTGTATCTCGTCCGGCTCAGGTTGGGTTTTCGTTTTCAAGAGGTATAGTGCCTTTTTTTACCTATGTTGGGCGAAAAATTATTAGTCTGTTTTTTTTGCATCCCTTGATGTCCCTCGCTCGCTCCCTCCTTCCAGTAGAGGGAATAATTCAAGGGCGTCACCTGGCGGTACAAAGGAGTTCTCACTCTTGAAGACCACCACGTTTCGGGTTTCAACTGCATTTTCGTGGCTAAAACTAAAGTTTTTTTGGTCCCCTGACTCGTATAGCAGGTCCATCTGACTCACAAACGTCTCACCCGTGCATCACAGGCCGGTTAGGTATCCTTAGGCTTTAGTTTTTCAACGACTTTCTCTCAGCAGTTTGAAAGGTGCTCGAGAAATGGGTGAAAGGACTCGTCACGGTGGACATCACTTTGAGTCTAAACAACTCCCATCTTACAGACACATCATTCAGTTTTTGGATTAAAATCTTGACGTAGCTAAAATCTAGTCATCGGTAGTAACTTACCCCCTCAGAACACGAATATCACAATTAGTTGGGGGCGGAAACGCCTGGAGCCTGGCGCTGCGTTAGCACTAAAACACCACGGCTACTAAACTCAATGAAAGCTTGTTCCCAGCAACAGCTCGACTCGAAATCGAGGCTCATTTCGCGTGCAACTGGCCAAGCGGAGAAAAGGCGAATCTGCGCGCCAGCGGGAGGCAAATCATCATGGATTGGTCTACGAAGAGAGCGCCTCACTACAATGTCACGCAAAGTGACCCCTTCTATGGCGAGCTCTCTGAAGCTACGAAAATTGAAATGAAATGGCCGGAGTCTACTGCATTCGCTTTGACCCACCGAATGAGCACCAGCCGTAACCATAAGTTCCATGCATTATGCACCAACCATTCGAAAAGCGCATTGCATTGCAGTGCGTGCAATAACTTCGTAATGGTGTCGTAAATCTTGCCACAAAAGGCTGCAGCCAGCAAAAAGTGCACAAAATACATCAGAACGTACCAATTACTAGTCAGGAATCTAGATACTAAGTTGGATAGTCTCTGTCTCTCCACTCTTCTGCGTCAACACGACGCCCTTTCGCGACACTAGAATGGTTCGCCTCAGGCGATTATGGACTTGAAACTTCACATAAGGAACGACGTCATTTTTCAGGTAAGCGAGCACCGTGCCTAAACGCCTTCACATAAGTTCACATACGCTAAGCACTAATTGTAGTGTAGAAGAGTGCTGATGAGTGATGCATGCTTTCGTTACTGAACGATGGAATGTGTCCTTAAGGATAACCTCATCGATGTGATTGCAAAGCGAGTTAGCGCACTGCAAATTTGACGCACATTCAGCTGAATCTGCCGCCCCTTGAAATCGGTCTTCTGGGGCTCCATCTGAGACAGCGTTCAGACTTCGCGATGACGCGCGCCGACGCGCTGTAACGCGCTGTTGCATGTGAAGAGGCGCTGTTACGCGCGTCGATGCGCTACAGTTACATCAGCACAACAAAACCATAAACACAAACGGAGCAGACGGCTGGCGCCGATCAATTCTCTCCTACGAACGCTCGATAGATGGGGATGGACGCCGACCGCTTGTGTTCCAAGAGAGTATGAGGGAATAGGGTGGTGGTAAGTGCTGCCTCGTCACGTAGACTCGCATCGATTGGCATTGGTTCCCTGCGCGCACGTTCCAATCGTAACGCGTCGACGCGCGTCATCGCGAAGTCTGGACGCACACCTAACCACATCGCAGTATGACGGTATCATGAATTGAGGTTTCGAAGCTTTGCATCATTCATTCGTTTCCTTCTCTTTGTCCCTTCTTCTGTCATGCTTGTCTTGCATATGCGTAGACATGTTCGAATTCCAAACATGTCCACAAGAGAGGTCAGCAGAAGCGATGGCAGGCACGCATGCTCATCATGTACAAGATCAAAATCAATACTCCTCCTCACCAGTTCGTCTCCATTACGCTAGCAAAAAGTATAGGTTTGCCGTTCCAAAGCATTTTGACGCCAATAGTAGGCGCTCATTGATTCCCCTTGCAGTTTCAGCTGCAGCTCGACGAAGTTGTTGGTCGAGATTGGTCAATGGTGTCGTTGAAGCAGCAGGATTCGAAAATTGCCTTCCAACGGCCCGCTCTCAAGATCACTTATGGGAAGTAGGTAGCAAGTGAGGGCCTATGAAGTAAGACGAATGAATATCCATTGCCAAGCTCGCCTGGGCCATTACTAGCAAGTTACACAACAATAACATCTTCGCTACAAGGTTGATAGTTATGAATGCCGCACCCGCAGCAGCACGCCGTCGTTCGTGGACATCACAATAAGGTCCACTCGGCCGCGAGAGAAGATCATGAGCTCAGGGTTCATTCAGAAGAGGAAGAGCAGCGAGACTCAGAT